GGAAAAGAGGATGCTGAAGATATAAAATCATATAACCCTTATGTAAAAATCTGGATCTCTAACTATAGAGGAGGTAAGCTTTCCAGCCTGTCTGGCATCTTTCTTTTTTGTTTCTTTTCTCCTTTTCTTTCTTTCTTTCTTTCTTGCTTGCTTGCTTGCTTTCCTTCTTTCCTTCTTTCTTTCCTTCTTTTTATTCTTCTTTCTTTCCTTCTTTCCTTCCTTCTTTCCTTCCTTCTTTCCTTCTTTCCTTTTCTTTTTCTTTCCTCTCTTCTTTTCCTTTCTTCTTTAGCAGTTGTAAAAATAAAAAAAGGTAGTTTCACTTATGTTATCACTGGTCTGTGGTTATCTTTGTCTGAAGTCCTGTACAGAGCCTACAACCGCAGATCAGACTATTTTGTTAAATTTTTTTTCCCATTAACCACCTGAGATTTTAGAGAATGAATGCAATAAGGAGATTATATATGATGAGGATGCAATTTCTCACCCTTTTTAGGATGTTAGTAACCCACATTTATTTATTTTATTTTGCAACTGATTGCATTGTATTTTACAACTCTAGTCTGCCCCGAGAAGATAATTTAATAAAGGGTAAGACATAATGTATGGGAAATTTCCACTGAATTAGTCATTCTAGTCATCCTCTTTGAGTAAACAGAAAGGAGCAGGTACTTCATAATGTCTTTAAGTAGATACCGTAGACTGATCATGAATTGCTCTGCAAAGGTAGAAAAAGAGTGCATGTGACTAGCCCAGATGAAGACAATTGCAAGATATACGTTTATGAGATTACATTAGGTAGATTAATATTTTGTAAAATGTAATCTGTTGGAACTGATAAGGACCTTATCAAGAGGGATACACAGTAAATCTTTGCTGTGAACTGATTGAGTCTTTAGAAACCTTTGTAAAACAGCCTAATACAGCTTGGTTTTAGTTTATTAATTTCCTATCATCAGACTAAGAATATAGTTTTCCTTGATCATTTGTCTCTTGGTTATTCCTTGCTGAACAACTGGTTGCCTAAAAATCACAGCAAGACTGGTGTAGTTTGCTTCCCATTCTGCTCTGCCCTGGATGGAGCTTAAATATTTCTCTTCCACTAGGTACTGTACCATCATAAAGGTGTGTGTATTTCATACTTTTATGCTTTTTTCCTGTACAAATCTATGCCACTGCTAAATGGAAAGAGGAATGGAAAAGATCATAGCTTGGTATGACCAGGTGAAAACTGATAGCATGTTGTTTTTATCGATCCTTTTTTTCCTGAGGTATATCCAAAAAAGGAACCATCTATGTACATTTTCCTCTTCTTGAACACCTTTTACCTACTGCAAGCACAGGAAAAATTTCTTCACTTCCTCTCTAGGCTTTAAACTGTGGGTTTAAGTGTAATCATGTATTTTCCTCATTCCTGTATTTCCTGTGTATGCTTGATCATTTTTTGCCTGCACAAAAGTTTCTGATTATGCTGTATTTTTAAACAGTTTCAGACCATAAAGTTTTAGATTTGTCTTTCAAAACATATATTCACAAGTTATCTATTTTTTATTTGTGTCATTTCATTCCTCTCTAAAAAATTCAGAGATTTTTATTTTTTTTTTTTTTACATATAAAAGAAATCAACATTTCAATAAATCTTTCCAGGTACTTTTAAAGACAATGTTTTCACTAATATTGATATAATGAATTTGTTCTACACTGAGGACAAACATGCTGCATGATCTGCCCTATAGTCCCTGGAGTTCTCATGAATACTCTTGTCTTTGTCCTTAGTCCATGGAAGCACACCAGACTTAAAGTCAGTCCTTCAAAATCCTGAAGTCAAAGCCATGGCTGAAGTCTCACACAAGAAAAACTGGTAATCTAAAAAAAAAAAGGAAAATAATAACTTCAAAAGATTAATATTAATCCTACAGTCTGTAAGCACTTCTGATAAAGAATTTTCTATTAATAATGAAAAAGCCTAAAGAATCATGTCTTTATTTTATTTTTCCAGGTGTACAGGCTGTATATTGCATTTTAACATCCAACAGATTAACATGGAGAATATAAGCAATGAGAAGGAATTCATCCTTGTGGGCCTCTCAGAGAATCAAGGAGTGCAGAAAATATGTTTCGTGATATTTCTGTTGTTCTATATGATTATTGTGGCAGGAAATCTACTAATTGTTTTCACTGTATTTAGCAGTCAACGTCTGAATTCCCCCATGTATTTTTTCCTTTCCTACCTGTCCTTTGTAGATATTTGTTACTCTTCCGTCACAGCGCCCAAAATGATTGCAGATTTCCTTGTTGAAAATAAAACCATCTCCTTTGTGGGTTGCATAACACAGCTGTTTGGGGTACATTTCTTTGGCTGCACCGAGATCTTCATCCTCACAGTGATGGCCTACGATCGCTACACAGCCATCTGCAGACCTCTCCACTACACCACCCTCATGACCAGGCGTGTGTGCAGCCAGATGGTGATCGGCTCATGGGTGGGAGGCTTCATGCATTCCATGGTACAGACTCTTCTAACCTCTAGTCTCCCATTCTGTGGCCCCAACAAAATTGACCACTACTTCTGTGATGTCCATCCTCTACTACATCTGGCCTGTACTAACACCTATGCTGTGGGTATCATTGTTGTTGCCAACAGCGGAATGATTGCTCTGAGCTGTTTCTTCATCCTAGTTGTATCTTACATTGTCATCCTGGTTTCCTTGAAAAGTCAAACGTCTGAAGGGCGGCACAAGGCCCTCTCCACTTGTGGATCCCACATCACTGTGGTGATTCTGTTCTTCGGGCCATGCACATTCACCTACATACGCCCGTCCAGTGATCTGTCAGAGGACAAGCGTTTGGCAGTGTTTTATACTGTAATCACACCCATGCTGAACCCACTTATCTACACGCTGAGAAATGAGGAGATGAAGAGTGCCATGAAAAAACTGTGGAGTAGAGAAGTGGGAAGTGAGAAGGGAGAGGTGTAGAACTGCAGTAACTTTTCCAAAAGATCGGAAAAATTCACATATATCTTACTGTAAGTCCTTTTCTGAAAATCTTGCTTTTGGCTCCTCTTCTAGTTAGGAACACTATCTATTTTCTTTTTGACTAGCACAGGCCCAGACCCAGGGCTCCTCAGCACTACTGAAACACTAGGAAAGAAATAAATACTATTAAAAGCATTTAAAGTTTTGTCCATATCGAGCACATGATTAATTAGTTTTTCTCTCAGGTATAAGCTTTTAGACAGACAAACTCCATCTGCTGTGTAATCCATTTAACTGGGAAAGAGGACTATGATGATCTGGTGCTGGAAGCTATCATACCAAGGAGAGCTCTTCTGCATGCAATAATTGCCACATTGTGGTATTTTGAATTAATTGAGTCTTTTGTTGAGTTAAGTAACAGGAGGGGAAGTTTTTTTACTACAGTTTCTGCAGTACTTCAGCTATCACTGACACCACGTTTTCAGCCATCACTTCTACTCTTCAGCTTTGCTTCAGATTTCTTATCTTAAACTTTACACTGATATAGAATCTCAGATTCTGTGAAATACATATGGTGCAGTAGCCACTAAGGAGAGCTTTTAGAGGTACCATTTCATGCATCAACGGGGAAAAAAAAACAACCAACTAAACAAACAAAAACCTTGTTCAGGAATCACTAAGGTATAGAAGATAATTCCTAACAGGGCATGTTTACACACCCACACAAGGAAAGCAGCACATTGTCCACAGGAACAACTGGACACCGACTACTACAGGAAGGAAGAGAAGAAATGTGAGGATGAAGGACCAAATCAGCACAGTACTAGTCAAAGCGTTTTGGGTTGTAGCAGCTTAGGATCTCCAACAAGGGAGCCAGGAGGTACGGGACCATGGCTCCTACTTTGCCAGCAGGAAACCAGAAAATCAATCGAGTGCAGAAGGAACAAACCTGCCTAGTGTCATTCAAAAGTAACTGATGCATTTTCCATTTTATTTCTTCACTTACATTCCTTTAAAACAGCTATACCTGTGATACACCCTAACATGGCTTAAGTAACATTCAAGGTTACAAGGTGTTCTCAGTCCAAGTTGGGGCTTATAACTTAATATTTATTTATCTATTTAGTGTTTTAATGTCTCACTTCTAAGCACTGGGTGCTACCAGGCAACAGCTGGACCATCGCTTATAGGTGACACTAGATACAACATTAAATTTCTCTACATATTGGTAAGAATTATTATAAAAGTTTAATACTTGGACTAAATAATGGTTTTTGTGTTTTGCATTGTCTGAGTAAAAACACATGGTAAGCAGTGAGTATCAATTAAAACCTTTCTAAAGTTTTTGAATAATTACCTGGTTTACTTATTGTTTCAAATTTCTACAGACCAGATACCTAACTGATAACAGCTATAGCACAGCTATGATATTTACTTATGCTTACAACATGAAATACCAAGAAAAAAGCTAAGAAATAAGAATGATTATGATAAATCTTAGCTTAGGACAGAAAACATAATTTGTATAAACGTCCTGTGTAAGAGACAACTTTATTCTAAGAATGTTTGATTGCAAAGGTAAGCTGAATAAAAAAATTACAAATGGCGAACTGCGATGTTAGTTTGAAACATGAATGCTTCCAGAAGTAACACAGAGACAATTGTAAATAAAGTCAGGCATGCAACAAGCAAACCCACACGCAATGTAATGTAGTCTAGATGATCACTCTCCTGCATCACTCTTCAGCAACTATCTTAAAAGCCATCAATTTTTAATTCCCCATTGATGATGTCTAACAAAGAAATCTTCATATGCTTCTAGGACCTCATTACTTCAGATACTCTTGTTCTTTTGCTATGTGATTTAATTTAAATATTTCTGCCACAAATTCCCCATCTTGTGAAAGAGAGTTATTCTTGCAGATGCTCTTGAAAGTTATTTTTTGAAGAATGAGAAACTGAAATAGACTCATGTTGTCCATTTCACCTTCTGCAATTTTCAGAATTGTCAGAGATGCATTTTGCTCTCATGATATCTAAGTAACAACTTGCAGCTTGGAATGTAAATGAAACCAATTAACGTGGTCAGAGAAGATGACCAGAGGAGGAAGTAAACTCCTGGAGACTGGCAAATATAAACTGTGTAAGTTTCTTTTTATTTTAATTGTTTGCATTGTTCAACCATGACTGTGAAAATAGGAATTTATACTGAGTGACTTTTGTGAGGTCCATTTTATGAGTTGTAAAAAATCAATTACAGCTTTTTCAGGCTTTGTTTCAGTTGCCTTTTTTCCTACTAAAAGGCTGTTTCTAGAAAGATCTACCAAAAAGATGTTGTCAGTATTACAGAGAGAAGGGCTCAAGAACAGGTGACAGCACTTCTCACATGCTCAGTCTTACATTTTCCCCTCAACTGTACACACAGACAACACAATGGTCTTAACACAGACACTTTGGTCACCCCCATAATGCCCTCTGTCTGCATATGAAAAGTCATGGAGATATAGACACAAAAGAGCATTTTTTCTGCTGCCTAAGTTGGGGAGTAGACAGTGGGTAAGAAAGAGACATCAAGGTGAAAGAACAGAGTGACCTGTGATTGTTGAACAGGATTCAGATCCCAAAAGACTTGCCAATATCACAGACAAGGTTCCAAGAATGAATAAACCCTTCTATATGGCACAACATGATCAGCTTTCATTTCACATATTTTTATATGCAAACATGAGCTATCTACAATTATGCAAGCTGCTGAAGAGAATAAGCAACCTTTGAGAAGGATGGGATTAATTTCATGGAACAAGTAGAGGAATCAAGATGATAAGGGAAAGATGGCACAGATTGTGCTGAATAATATATAAATGTTAAGAATAACCTGCAGGCACAAGCATCCCATTAGCTAGAGTGTGAACTTCTAGTCTGACAAATTCTGTAATCCATTCAACTGAGAAAAGGTGGTCTAAGGCGTCTGAAAACTTGATCATTATCTACTGGAGTCCCCTTTCTGCTTTTAGTAAATGAGTTATTATGGATTGTCCTAGATTAATCCATGAGTCAACTATTAAATATCTGATATTGAGTACTGTTAGGGTCACTTGCTGATGCAGGTAACAGGAGGTCAGTCTTCTCCCCTTCCCCTGCCAGTGCAATTGCCAATAATAATGATTATTGCTCTAGTCAGTACCAAGATTCAAAGGCTCACCAAACTAATGGTGACTAGAGGCTATCATCACCAAGTTTGATGATGATATGAAACTGGGAAGAGTGGCTGACATGCCAGAAGGGTGTGCTGCTATCCAGCATGACCTGGACAAGCTAGAGAGTTGGTCAGAGAGAAACCTAATGAAACTCATTAAGGACAAGTGTAAAGTGTCTGGGGAAGAACAGCTCTATGTATCAATACAGGTTGGAGGCTGATCTGTTGGAGAGCAGCTCTGGGGAAAAGGACCTGGGATTCCTGGTGGACAAAAGGAAGCATTAAGAGTATGGCCAGCAGGTCAAGGGAGATTATCCTCTCCCTTTTCTCTGCCCTGATGAGGCCTCACCTGGAGTACTGTGTCCACTTCTGGGCTCCCCAGTTCAAGAAGGAAAAGAACCTACAAGAAAGAGTCCAGCACAGGATCAACGAAGATGATTTGAGGATTTGAGTATTTGCCATGTAAGGAAAAGCTGAGAGAGCTGGGTCTGTTTAGCTTTGAGAAGAGGAGGCTGAGGGTAGATTTCACCAATGCTTATAAATATCTAGAGGGCGAATGTAGGAGGATGGGGTAAGTCTCTTCTCAGTGGTGTTCAGTGACAGGACAAGGGGCAATTGTCACAAAGTGGAAAAGAAGAGGTTCAACCTAAACATAAGGAAATACCTCTTTACTGTGAGGGTAACAAAGCACGGGAACAGGTTGTCCAGAGAGGTTGTGGAGTCACAGATATTCAAAACCCATCTGGATGTGTTCCTGTGTGATCTACTCTAGGTCATATTGCTCTAGCAGGGGAGTTGGACTTGATGCTCTTCAGAGATCATTTCCAATCCCTACCATTCTGTGATTCTGTGTTTCTCTAGTGGCTAAAAGTTTTCCCACTATGGCGAGTCTGCTCTCATTTTTCTATATTTGGTATTTTTGGTGAATGTACTATCTGCTTCAGTTACTTTCTGTCTCCTATCCCTGTTTCCTCAACACATGCAATCTAAGCTGTCCAATGACAGCAAATGTAAAACTAGCAATTTAACTCCAAGCTCCAAACCAATCTCATTTATTAGAAACCTAAAATCACGGCCATTGTGGTCTGGATCAACTTCATTTAAAGGAGCTCTGCTCCACTAGGGGAACATTATGTCCTTAAAATAGTTGACAGTTCAGTCATTTGTCCTGAGGTAATTAATGATGCATGGAGATGAAATATAACAATAAGTCCTTGTTACCTTATACTGGTGGTAAAATTAGAAGTAAAACATGGACAGAACTTTTATAAATTCTTCATACTTCCAGGCTGAAGAGAAAAAAAAAAGACAGCAATGACTGGTAGAAGAGAAAGATTTATCTTTCCTAGAGTTTGAGGTGAAAACATAGGCATCTAGTCATCAAGATTTTCTTTCCAGATTTACGGTTCTTCATATTACATTGGAAGAGACTATTCCTTTCCTATCTTGAAGATATACCTAAATGACTGTAAAAATAAAGTAATCACATTTCTTCATTTTCCAGAGTGCACACTTTCAGAAACTGGTTTCTACTCTTTAAAGTCAAAAGTAATTATTCTGATGACGTTTCTAAAGCAAGTGCAGCTTTGATTCGTTTATGAGGTGATATTACTTCTAATGCAGGAATCTGTGCTGCAGATACCTAATTCTCCTTTTAGGATCAGTGGACTTAAATAGTCTCTTTATGACTAAGACTTTTCTCTCGAAAAGGTAGGTACCAAAAATGAGATCAGAAAGATAAAATCTTTGCAGCATTTCTTCCTCCCAATTGATTTGCAGGCATATCTAAAAGCTCTCTAATTCA